AGATGAAGCTGGGCTCTGCCCGTGAGCGCTGTCGGAACCAGCAAGACTTGGAGACTTCAGTGTCATTGACACAGGGCTCATTGAGCACGGAAGTCAATTCGTTCCAACGCAGTGTCTAACGGACACGCAAGCCTCGTTGAGGCAATAATCGATTGAAGCTGTAAGTGTTCTCAAATTTAATGGGGGCGTGAGACAACTCGAGAACGCAATATTGACAAGCGTCGGCATGACTTTTTGGGACGCACATGAGTCAGTTGACATCTCTGAGCTAGGGTTAACTTTTTTGTGATTCTCCGATCGATGTCGCAATGCACAGCTAGGAGCTGTATCTCTTCGTACCATTATTAAAAGAGCATGACTTTTTGTCTCGTGTAGAGGGGAGGCTAATACCAGTGAACACCTCTTGCTCGGTGGTCGGTAAGGCGTTATGTAATTCGGGTGGGGGGAGGTGCTTGGTTAGGACTTACGGACTTACTACCACGGTAGACATCGGAGATGAACTCGAATCTTTGCTGATCTTCGCTCCAAAAGCGTTTGGCAATAAAGCAAATGACCGTGCTTGCAAGGGTTCATGGGGCTATTTCACAGATATCACGCGGGTGCTAAGGTGCAATTATGCCGTGAGAGCGGCCACAATAAGTGCGACTGATGATTTTTGAACGTTAACATCCAATCGGGGTCGCTAAAAAGGCCGAAGCTCGGCGTGTTCTTAAAAATAGTGAGGTAGAGTGCCACGAGTTTAGTAATGTATTATAGTGTACTTACATTCAACATTTTTGATAAAATAATACCATATGCATATTATACAATAGTAAAAACACACGAAAACCACATTGAAATCTTCAGTAAATGTGTAATTTTATAAGTAACGAAGAATCAAATAAATAAAATAGGTAAGACTCTGTAAAGAGGTCCGTAATTTTTGGCTGCTAGCCGCAAGTCATAATTTTGCTCAACGTTATATAGTATATTTCAAATTCTACCAAATAGAGTCAGTTCTAAATATATGTCACTTTTAGAAAAGCAGAGCTTGCTGATAACTTAAGTTTCAATAAAATTTTCTATTTCGCTTCTAGTTGATGCAAACAGCTTAACCACTGCGTTTGTAAAGGCGGACTCATTAAGTCGAAGTGTTCTGTGTTTGATGTGCAGGGCAATTTTGTTGGAGACAGTGTGAGCAGATCCCGCGAAGGATGAAACCGGAGTGAAATGACAACGTCACAATTGTGTGGCATAAGATGCGGCACCCAAGTTTATAAAGAATGTCTGATATGTGTCTAGCTTGGCCTGTTCAAAATTTAAAGAAGGTACTAATGTCGTCTGCGATGCTTCAGCCTGAATCATAGTTCTTATGTACCTTCAAGAACATTATAATGAGTATTATTAAGGGGTCGTGCATGTTCTTCGTCAGCTTTTCGTGGCAGCGAAGTTGTTCTTCTATTATAACAGCCGTTACCTGCAACAACGTTTATCTTTCTCAAGGTAAAGATTCGCCTCTTTGACTTTAATGCGCTGAGTGATCGATACAGATCGCGCGTTGAACACACAGCGACGTCATTACCTCATCTCTCACTGCAAATTGCATAATACTCTTCCTCGTTGCCAAATATGAATTGAGGGAATGGTCATTCCGAGGTTGCGTGTTCTCGTTATCCCGGCTATGAATTGTTTCATATCACAATGGTGACGACGTCAATCGACGAGACAATTCGGATAGCACATGGATTAGATTCGACATGAGTTGCATAGCTGAATGTTTTGAAAATTAAAAAATAAGAATTCAGCTCTCGCGTTATCATGTGGTGGGCTATTCGCCTGCACCGTTATTCCATAGTTCAAGATTTGTATGATTACAGTACTGACCCGCTCAACACTCAACTAGTATTACCTCCTGGCAAGGGCCTCAAATAAAAATTATTCTACGAGGCCGACAATACCCGTAGGTTGGCCGCCTTCAAAGAGGTAGAAGTAATGGCTCGGTGAGCGTTATACACCGGTGGCCAACCATGTATACATGGAGAAACACTTTTGAGCGCACGTACAAAATGTGTCGTCGAGCTGACTCCTGACTGAATACCGTGGAGCCTTTGGCCAGCAACACGGTGCAGGCAAAGTGTTGGGAGCTCTTCCATATAGACTTTTTGCCGTCAAAAAGACTCTTGCATACAATGCCGGTATTGTGGTCGTCGTGGTCTGGAACAGGATGGATCAAATCATTGTTGCGAGCGACACTGTCATCAGCAAATACTCAGTTTTTAATAAAGTTTTTGCCAACATGGCTTACAGATTACTATTAAGTCGAGCAGGGTCTGAGCTTTACAGTATTTTTGCAACGATGCTCATTTTGATAGGCACAACATTGCACATGTCAACCGCTGGTGGTCAGACAGAACTCTTTGCTAGTTCCAAAAAACATATTATTTGACGTGCTTGTACAGAGAAGCCGTAGAGCTGCGCAAACTATTCTGCTACATTGAGTTTGCGTTAAACAATGCAAAGCTGTATGTACCTTATGTAACAGTAATAGTCATCAGCCTATGGATTCTTTGCCACCGTCACAAAGTAGTGCTAGTTCTGAAAGAGGGACGTCGATATAATTCGATACCCGATGTACCGGGGTTACACGTACCCTGGTAGACAGGGATGGTTTACGCAATGGTGTGGCTACACCGTAACATGAAACTACTAAGTGGCGGAACTTGCAGTAGTTATGCCTATAAATATGATAATAAGGTTTTGCTGTATTGATTAGGTCTGACTAAATTATTTAGGAGAACCTAGGGTTTTAGATATAGGCGGCTCTGCCGAAAGTGAAACAATTCAATACCGTTTTGTTTTTTAACAGAAGTATTCGTTTGCCTCGGTTAAGTATTTGGGTATCTTGGAGGTAGCGGATTGTGATCTGTTACACTCATACTGGCTCTAGTATGGAACGCAAGGTAGGTGGCCTTAGCTTAGCTTCCTCTAAGCAGAGAGCTACGCTGCACTTGGTAGCGCTTGTAGTCAATCTACGCCTGAGTCGTTCCGACTGAAACTTTGTGAGATGAAGCAATTCTCCTACTTACACCAGGGCATACAAGATGGGCTTAATAGGCTGATGTCCCTGCTTGGCCCTGAGGGCGTACACCATCTTGCTTTGCAAAGACCCGAAGCGACAAACGCGCGGCTTAGAGGCGTTTTTAAACAATGAAAACGCTCTTCTAGAGCACGTAGAGCAGAAGAACTGCGTCTATGACACCAACTTCGACGTCGGTTGACTCCTCCCGACCCAGGCCGCCCATGGTTAGCGTTAAGATGTTGAGGGCAAGGATGGAGAGAATTTACTGCTCTATCTGAGATAGCCATGGCGTCCGCCATGCTCCAGCCCGAACAATAGCGCGTGGCGACAGCAATCTCCAAGCTCCAGCGAGATAATGGGCATTGACGTCCGAAACTTCGGTGAAAGCGGCGTTTCCTCGATGGATGGAGCTGAAGCTTTTGCGAGTGTTCTCACTGACAAACCCGGTATATCGCGCGCGATCACGTTTCCTTGCCGCCCCACAAGGAATAAAAGAATTGGTGGACTTTGACGAAGAGTTGCGTACTCTCATTGCCGGGATGGCAGCCGATCGTGTTTCCGAGGCGGTCACAGTGACCGTCTTTAATAGGGTGTGGTCAGAATGGAAGGCTTCCGTAGCAATCCGTTTTTGTATGAAGAAGCAGGGAATGGGGCATAGAATGCCGAGCTCAACTTTAATTCGGCACGACTTGATTGTAATACGCATTCTAGTATCTCGTCGAGCGGGCCTGAGCCAATGGATCTTAGCTTTGCTGAGGAAGAGGCGATAGAGCTTCAAAGCAACGGGTAGCGTTCGAACACCTGATGGTGTTTTGTCTGTGAAGCGACCCATCACCTTCGGACTGGTTCTCCCCTGCGCAAGGCGCGTCAACGTTCATGAAACCGATGTCCCACTTCTCACAGTCTTCTAGCTTCTCGTGGTAGAACGACAACACCCAGTAGGTGCGAGGCGCAATACTAGGAAAAAAACTAAGTTCTGTCAAGCCTAAAAAAGCTCAGCAGGGCCCAGCCCCGAAGAGCTGTTTGCTCTTGCACACGGAACGTGCCGGGCTTAATGGTGTAAAAGCGACCATGAGGGGCTTTGAGAAGCCATGGAAAATCCATATCGATTCTGGTGCGTCGGGCAATTATGCTCGACACTCAACGATTGAAGGAAGTAAGCTGTATGCTGAAGCGCTGGCGCGGTTGATATCACTGTCACTGTGTCGAGGGCTCCTGTGGACCTCGGTGTCAAGTTCCTTGACTTTGATAGCGTGCAACGCTGCTTAAGCTTAGACTTGGATACAAGGTATGACCTTATCCTCGGTATGGCATTCTTGGAACACCATGAGCCATGGGTTGATTGGAGGTCGAAGACCTGGGCGCTACGCGCACGTCTCCTGCTCGAGCTTTGGTGAGTCATAAATAGGAAGCAAGCACTATTGGATGAGGCACTGGACCAGGAAGGTCAATGTGCTGGATATCGGAGTATCCGAGTCGTCGAACCCTGAAGGCGTATCGGACAGGAGTCCCGAGCAAGGCACGTGAGCTGAACGTGCTGTGGCACTTAACCCTCTGAGCGGTGCTCAAGTATTGGAGCAGTCGCTGCATGCCAAGGATGGCATTGTCGGACGAGGTCCGAGGCATCCTGGGCAAGACCCTTCGGATACGCGTGGAGTGGCACGATATTTACTGAACGAATACTGCAAAACTAGCAGCTCTTCGTCGAATGTTGTTACTAACATCAGGGCTAAGAATTGAGCTAACCCTGGTCGACGCTGAGTGAGGGTTCCCACTGGTCTAGCCGATACATACAACATCTGTGGAGAGGCGACGGCGACGCCGAATGTTATCTGCAGGACGCAGGGTGTCCACCCTGAACCACGATGTGTCAACCGTAGTCAATAGCGCATAGCTATATACCCTTGCCAACGGTATGACGGGTGGGTAAGACGGCGACGTGACTTTTGAGGCTATTCCTGCGGTGGAGATATCCCTTTTTAGGGTGCTTCATTGAGAAGCGTGGCCTTCGAGCGGATCCCGTTAAGTTCCAGGCGATTGTAACTGGCCGGTTTCAAGGAACTAGACGCACTTGCGCAAATGGCTTAGCTTTATAAATTACTTGCACAAATATCGCGAGGACTGTGCAGAAATGGCACGGCCATTGTTTCAATCTCCTGAAGAAGGATGCAGAATGGTGTTGGGAGACCGAGCATCGGGAGACTTTTAACAGGAGCAAATATAGCCTCCTTCATGAGCCAATACTGGCGTTGTAAGACCCCGATCGTCGTTTAAGTGTCGTTTGTGACGCTTCGGGCTTTGCCATCGGCTGTGCACTTCTGCAATCAGACGCCAAGGGGTGAGATCGGGTGAGTGCGTTTAGGGTTTGGACATGAAACAAGCGTTCTCGATTGCTTCGTGGGCAAGAGCATTATTCGTGTCCGGAGAAAGTCAAAGCTATCAATCATTAGCGTTTCCAAACCCTGTAAATCGGATGAGTTAATGGTTGTTCTTCGCCAACTATTCGCACAAATGCACGCTCACTCATGCATCGTTGGTTCAACCCCGTGATGACTCCGATCAAATGTCCGGGCGGTCTAAGGCGCCCGTTTACGGCACTGG